CTGGAGCTCAGCTAGCTCTCCTGCTGCAAGGGAGGGCTTAAAACTCCTCCTGTGCTTGCAAGACTTGGTGAAAGACCTGTCCAAAACCAAGTGTGTGCCCTCCCCTCCTGACTTTCCTCGGCTTTAAGCTACAGACAGGCTTGGAGCAGGAGCCACCATCAGGCTGCACTTTGGTACCCAGCAGGTACAAGTCCATGGATGCCCTGACTGAGCATCCTGGTCTCCATCCACATTGTGGTCATCTCTTTGCTCTGCCCCAGCCTTACCTCCCCCGACCAGCTCACAGGATCCTTCTGGTCCCTATTGACCAGTGTGATTGCACCAGGGTGTAAGCAAAGCTGTGACTCCCCAGGAAATCTTAGTGGTATCAGTTAGTGAGAGGCTACAGCTCTCTATCAGCTAATACCTAGAACTGGGAAGTTTCAGCTGCTGGGGGCTTGCCTGGAGGAGATGTGCTCCCCTGGGATTACACTGTTAGCACAGGAGTATTTGAAGAGAATGGAGAAAAACACAGGGAGCAGATTCCCAGTCTTGGAATTTGCTTTTCATGCTGCAGAGAGCTTCAGATGCTCTTCGGCACACACACCACACACTGTCTTACAAAACCTTACATGCACGTACACACATGCACCCCTCACACAACTTCACTCCTGCACCACACCAAAATGCCCTTCCTTTTCCATATAGTACCATTTGCTCTAGTAAATAAAACTGCATTCTATCCAACTACCAACCACGCCTGCAGCACTAAACAGTTTAGAGGTCAGAAAAGACAAGAGAAGAGACAAAAGCAGCTTGGATAAGAACAGAACGTACACTAGGGAATGCACGAGGCTTGCCCAGTTGCATGAAATTCCCAACACAATCAGTTATAAACACTCCTGAAAAGTCCATTTGGGTTAACACAAAGATCCCAAACCAGCAAATAAAGTTGTCTAAACCCAGTCTAACTTGGTTCTTGTCTCATTAAGCTTTTACTTGTCGGTACAGGCTGCAAAACCTCTCCAAGCAGCATCCCCGAAGAAAGCATCACTTGTCCTGCACTAGCTACCAGCAGCCTTTCAATCCCTTTGGCTCTCAAAGGGGTAAAGGGAGCTGAGAGAGGACAGCCAGATCCCCCAAATAAGGATGGTCGAATAAATACTGTGCAAATATATCAGATTTTATTACTCTTTTATGGAAATAATAACAGACAATCAGGTAGAAACATATTAAATTAATGCAGTCAACGGTTTAAATGCAAAAATAAATATAAAGTCCAGCAGCTCAATGCATCTAAAACAGCTCATTTCTTCTAACGAATAGAAAAGATTTCTCTTTTTTTTTTGTCTTTTTAACGGAGAGTTTCATACAATCGAATAGAAACGAAGGTACAAGCGCTTTCTTAGAAAACATCCCGACCCGGTTGCCCGCCTCCGGGGCTCCCTTGCAGCCCAGTCCTGGCCGGGCCGGGTCCCATCGAGTCCCATCGGGTCCCACCGAGCCGGGCAACCCTCAGAGAGCCGAGTCCGAGTCGCTGGAGTCGAGGCTGTTGCGGAGACGGCAGCTCCCGAGGCGGTCCCGCTGCAGGCTGAGGTTCTGGGTGCTCCTCCGCAGGCACTCCAGCGACTGCAGGAAGGACTTCTTGGCCTTCTCCTCCTCCATAGGGGACACCCCTTCCTCCTCCACCTCCTGGATCTCGTCGAAAGTCACCGGCTGCGTCTTGAAACGCGATTGCCGCGGCCGCCGCAGCTTTCCCTTGGGATTCTTAGCGGGGCGGGCGGGCGGTGGGAACTCCTCGGACACGCACACGAAGTGCGGCATCACCGCCTGGTAGCTGGAGCAGATGCCCATCAGCTCGGCCGGCTTCGCGGCCATCCTGCCGCCCGCGGGAGCGTCCGCCGCGGGGACCGGGGCCGGCGGAGCGGGACGCGGAGCTTCGGCCGTACCGGGTACCGAGGCTCCGGCCGGCGGGGAACGGGGAAGCGCGGGGCGGAACCGCGCGGAGAGATGCGGAGAGGAGCGGTGCTCTTCGGAGAGGTGCGGGTCGGCGCTGATCGGTGCGGTGCGGACCGGAGATGTGCGGTACCGCGGGGAGCGGTGCGGTACCGTGCGGAGTGGAGCTCGGAGAGGAGCGAAGCAGAGCTTGGAGCCGATCGGTGCTGTGAGACGCGGTGCGGTGCGGACCGGAGAGCGGACCGGAGAGCGGACCGGAGAGCGGACCGGAGAGCGGACCGGAGAGCGGACCGGAGGCTCCCACCGTCCTCCTCTGCTGCTGCTGCTGCTGCCGCCGGCTCCTGGGCACCGTTATATATCCCGTCGCTGCCCCCGCGGGAGCATGCTCAGACGGCAGCGGGCCCCTCTCGCAGCCTGCGGGCTCTTCCCTTCCGCCTGACGTCTCCCCGGCACCGCTGTCACCGCCCCCGGTCCCCCCCACCCGCCCCATCCCCTCGGTGAAGGCGGGGGGGGGGAATGGCAGGGACCGGGACCGAGCCTCCTGCGGAGGCTTCGCCCTCGGTCCCGTCGCCCCTTCCCGGCCTCCCCTCACCGCTGGCTCCATCCCCAAGGCACCCCCGCAGTGCCCGGGGGAGCATCGAGTGCATTACCGGGGCCTCACGACATCCCCGAGCGCCCCGAGAATCCCAGCTTCCCACATCCCACCTCGCAGCTTGTTCTATCATTACCATGATTTCTATGGCTGTAAAGGAACAGTGACAGACTTGGCACATCAGCTTTCAGCAGGGATCGCTACCATCGGAATAACGTGGGTAAAGGAAACCCCGAGGCAAGCCCAATCTGAACACCCCAATGCTGCAAGGAGCCAGACTTCAACTACAGGGATCCCATGGGACAGCTCCAGACAAGAAACCAGCAGCACCAGAGGGTTAAGCAGGATGCTGGGATCTCACTCCCAATTCTGCCACCTCTGATGTAGTTTAAACACCTTCAGTGCAACTCCATGTTCTTCCTTTCAGACGGGATCCTAAAATTTTCCATTCCCCTGTGGGCTCTGAATTACTTCCATGGAATGATGCAAAATCGGATCCTCAGAGGGAAAACGGCATGCAAGTATTAGTGAGCTGAAACAAAAGCTTGCAAATCAGTGCCGGCTGCGACCACACTCTAAAGCTGTGTGTGCCAAGGAGTGTCAGCGATGGAAAAACCCAACAGCGCAAGAAAAACATACGACAGGGATAGCAAAGGAACTAGAAGGAAGTGGAGTAGAAAAGCATGAGGGAGGAAGAGCCTGAAATGATCAGTCTGTCCCCTCTGCAGGGCTAATGTTAGACTGTTCCCACAAAGGCATTCTCCAGGGTAGCTTCACCCACTCGGGGATATTTTTGAAGGTTGGTTAGGAACTGGGAAGGAAGCAGAGGCTTAGCAACAGCATCAGGAATCCTGGTCTGTGCTGGAGAGGGGATAGGAATGTAAGCTCAGGGCCTTGAGCAGTCAGTTCTTGGTGTGCCCTCAATAGAGGTACCTGGGGCACAGGAAGCACCAGTTGGTAAATCAGCCCCCAGAGAGATGTGAGCTTACCATGGGTCCTGCACCCCAGCCAGCATGTCTGCCACGAGCTCCAGGTTATTGCAGTTTGCCATATAACAAGTTCTTTGTGTAGGGGCAGAGCGGTGAAGCTTCCATCCATCACACACGTCCTGTGCCACAGTCCAGCAGCCAGGAAGGGACTTGTTTTGGGGAGTTCACCATCAGAAAGTCTCAGCTTTGTCTTGGGTTAGACTTGGGACTGGTCCCTCCGCCTTTCAAACTGCCTTAGCAGTGGCAATGCTTCAGGACCTGCATTGGAAACAAACCATTATCATTACAGCCCTGGCTCAAACAGGGTAAAACAAAGCAGGAAACATGGATTTGGGAGAGGAGGACCAGAGGCACTCGCTAGCGTGTTTCTAGAAGCCTGGCTGCTTTGCCTCTTGCCAGGGTAAGAGAAACAGTCAGAGCCATGGCTTTATGAAGCACCTGGCTGGAATCTCTTGGTTTCTTGGCTTCCCAAGGCAGCTTTAGGGCCAGGGTCAGCTTGAAGCCTTTTTATTGGGAGATACAATTAGCTTAGTAAGAGAACAATTTTCTTTTTGGTCAAATTGAATCATTCCAGCTCAGAGAAGGATGTGTTTTTTTACTGTTGATTTTAATGGCTAAATTTAGCCCATACAGCCCTTGCTGCAGTACAATTTTCTCTCCAGGACTCCCATTTACAACAGTTTTTATTCCTCACAACTTGGTTTTGCTGCAGGACAAGGGACAAAGTGAGTTTCCTCAGCATAGCCCTCCAACAAGATGAGCCTGCAGAACAGTTTGGAGGACTCCATCCTGCAACAAGCTCTGGGCTGACACAGGAGGCTTGTTCTGGCAGTGGAGAAATCATCTTATGTTCAGTTGAGGGAGGGGATTGTCGTCCTCTGCTCTGCTCTTGTGAGACCCCACCTGGAGCCCTGCATCCAGCTGTGGGGCAACAGCACAAGAGTGATGTGGAGCTGTTGCAGCAAGTCCAGAGGGGGCCACGGAGATGCTACGAGGGCTGGAGCAGCTCTGCTCTGGAGCCAGGCTGAGAGAGCTGGGCTGGATCAGCCTGGAGAAGAGAAGGCTCCTTAAGGGGAGACCTTAGAGCAGCTCCAGTGCCTAAAGGGGCTGCAGGAAACCTGGAGAGGGGCTTGGGACAAGGTCCCGTAGGGACAGGACAAGGGGAATGGCTTTAACCTGCCAGAGGGGAGACTGAGATGAGCTCTTAGGCAGAAGCTCTTCCCTGTGAGGGTGCTGAGGTGCTGGCACAGGGTGCCCAGAGAAGCTGTGGCTGCCCCATCCCTGGCAGTGTTCAAGGCCAGGTTGGACACAGGGGCTTGGAGCAACCTGGTCTAGAGGAAGATGCCCCTGCCTGTTGCAGGGGTTGGAACTAGATGAGCTTTAAGGTCCCTTCCAACCCAAACCATTCCATGATTCTATGAAATGAAGCAAGTTAAATTTAATCCAGTCCAGCATAAGAGCATCCGAGGTTCTGCTGAAGAAAGGCTGGTCCATACAACATCTTTAATTCAACACATGCATCCCAAGCCCAAACTGCCCATCTGGTTCCATACAGAATGTTCGATCTGAGGGCAAACTGACTTCACTTAAGGTAGAGAGAACATTTCATTCATTCAGTTCTGATTAGAAAATGCTCTGGGAGGTTTCAATGCCGACTTGGAGCCACATCACCATGGTAATAACCAGGAGACCTAAAGATTGTATTTGAGACAATTCAGAAAATATATCCTGTGACATAATCCCCCAAGTTAGGTCTGCGATGCGCTAATGTACCAACTATATTTACTCCAGTGGTTTAAATCATGACTTCAATCTCAGTTGCTCCCGGTACTGAAATGTGACCTCATGGTATAGGTTACAGAAGCCCTCTGCCACGTGGATCATCAGAGCACATTTCTTGCCTGCATAGTACAGGCCTGAAGTCACGTTGGATGCCAGGGCTGGAGGGAATCTTTACCCGGGGCTGGGAATGTTTCAGATGCTGCATGTTTTACATTAAATATCCACTCAGCAGCTGTGGGGCCTTGGGATGTTAAAATGCCATTTGCACAGCAGGAGAAAGGATTAATGCTGCTGAAACAGCACCTGGGGTATTAATTTATGTCATCAGGTCACTCATTTAACAAAATGATTATAGGAAACACACTTACAGGCTATTCCTTGTTATTCCTCTTACTGGCTATCAGACGGAATGCCACAGAAGGGAAAGGAAAGAGTAAGAAGAGCAGGGAAAGAAAGAGTCACCTTGTCCTACAGGAAAAGAAACTTCTGCAACCCCGGGGCTTTCACAGAAACACCTGTAGATTGGCAATCCCAGTGTGGATACCCTGGACATCATGGCTTGCGCTCCAAGATGGAGCATGTGGTAAACCCCGAGCCAGCGGGACGAGCTTCTTCCCAGCAGCATACCTTAACCCACCCACTGTGAGGGTGCTGAGGCATTGGTACAGGGTGCCCAGAGAAGCTGTGGCTGTCCCATCCCTGGCAGGTTGGATGGGGCTTGGAGCAAGCTGCTCTAGTGGAAGGTGTCCCTGCCGGTGGCAGGGGGTTGGAACTGGATGAGCTTTAAGGCCCCTTCCAACCCAATCCAAACAAACCAAAACAAAGTTCTCCTTTTTATATACAACTTGTCTGAATTCAGCTAATCATAGCCGAAAAATTTCTTTCCACATCCACCTAAATCAGTAAACATGGGAAATTCAGCTGAGTGGCTGATTCCCAATGCTGAGTCATTTCAGGGATGCAGTTGCAGGAGGTGTAAACCTGCCATGGATTTTCACTGTGACGTAAAGTCATTGAAACCCAGGTTTCAGCTTCTAAGCAAGAGCATGTGAGAAGAATGCTGTTGTAGTTTGGCCAAGTACAGTCAGGTCAGGCTTGGACTGCATTAAAATGAAGACTGTGAAGACCAAAGAGAAGATGAGTTGAAATGAGGAACCCTCAGAAGCAGAGGAGCCAGCTGAAGGCAGGAGTGTGGTGAATGTTGAGACAGGAGAGAGGAGGAGCAGCAGCAGACCCACACAGGCCCATCAACAGCAGAGCCAAGGCTGGAGTAACGAGCAAGGGACAGAGTTTGGGGTCTATGGGTTCAAACTGAAACAGGAGGAGTTCAGGTTAGATATAAGGAAGAAGTTCTTTACTGTGAGGGTGGTGAGGCATTGGCACTGGTTGCCCAAAGAAGTGGTAAATGCTCCATCGCTGGCAGTGCTCAAGGCCAGGTTCAACAGAGCATTGGGCAACATGGTTTAGGGTGCGGCATCTCTGCCCATGGCAGGGGGTTGGAACTAGATGATCTTAAGGTCCTTTCCAACCCAGACCATTCTATGATTCTATGATTCTATGAGTAGGATAGAAAACCCACAGGGGATCGTACAGCACACTGCCTATAGTACTGGAATGTGAGGATGTACCTGCAGCATGACTGTAGGTTCAAATACTTGGCAATACTTGTGAGGAGCTCATGATACAACACGGTTAACACAAAGTCTGTGTATTCAAAGCTCCTACCCCTTCAAATCTCACTTTCAATCTTGTCTGACTTTCCATGAGCTGCAGTAAATCCTATAAAGCTTCTCCCTGCTGCCATTAGGACAAAGTACTGGCTAAAATGCTTGAATGTGATAATGCTCCTCACACAAATGGACTATTTTACCCTCTGTATTGAATTGTTTCAACTGTAAAGTGATACCTGAAGTGAGTAGTCAGGGTTTCAGTAGCATGTCACAGGGTAACAGCATCTGGCTGTCATCACACCACTAACAATAAATGTAGGAATGAAACCCTTTGTTTTTCAAAGAGGGCTGCAAAATGTTCCCTGACGAAAAGCACTCCATTGAATTGCCCTCGTTTGGCCTGATGGGCGTCAGAAGGGATGGCAGCTTCTCCCAGCACTGCTACTGACGTGTCAAGGCACAGTGATACAAGGACACAAGATAAAAGTGTGGTTTAGACAACTGGAGGCCAGAGACTGCAGAAAGCTCAGCTGTCTAATGTACTTTTAACAAATTAAGAGACTGCTTGGACTATTCCTGCTCGTACAAGTTGCTGCCACTTGGGGTAAAATTAACCTCTAACCTCGCATGGTTTAATTGTGGAGGTATTACTTTGTCTATTTGTTACTGTGATCCTGTCCATTAAGCAGTGTAGAAATTAGGGTTCCTTGTTCAATACTACCTTTTGCAATCAATAAAACACGTCCTGCCTCAGGTGTGTAAAAGTTCAAAAAGATATTCTGCTCCACAAAATAGATGATTTAAAAAAAAACCCACCTTTTGAATGTGCAGGGGAGAACTTTGCTGTTGAATTCCAGGAGTTTCTGTCCCTCTCCACGGCCACTGCTGGGCTGGTGGCTGGGATTGTGCTGGTGGTCCAGGAAATGTGTCAGCTGTAGGTGCAGGAATGTTGCTGGGCAAGGAAGTGAGGAGAGGAGGATTCCCTGCTCCTCACTGGTGGAGCTCAAGTCTCAGGACAGACCTTGTAACAGTCTTCCAATACCTAAAGTGGCCTACAAGAAATCTGGAGAGGGGCTTTTAGTAAGGGCCTGTAGTGACAAGACAAGGGGGAATGGCTTTAACCTGCCAGAAGGGAGACTGAGATGAGCTCTCAGGCCAAAGTTCTTCCCTGTGAGGGTGCTGAGGTGCTGGCACAGGGTGCCCAGAGAAGCTGTGGCTGCCCCATCCCTGGCAGTGTTCAAGGCCAGGTTGGACACAGGGGCTTGGAGCAAGCTGCTCTAGTGGAAGGTGTCCTTGCCCATGGCAGGGGTTGGAACTGGATGAGCTTTGAGGTCCCTTCCAACCCAAACCAGTCTGGGATTCTATGATTCTATGAATTCTAAGTAAAGTTCAGTGCGGGGAGGACAGGACAGTGAGCTCCAATTTAAACAAATGGCTCAGGTTGCTATGGAAACCTCAAGGATGGAAAAGCAGCACATTGAAAACAAAACACAGTGAGGTAAGTTTCTTATCCACTCTTGAAAAGATTTATGACCAGAAAAGGCAAAGTGGGTGTTAAACGCTTTTTAGCTAAGTCAATAGTAGCAGCACTTGAGAAGGAGGCATTATGGATTCACAGCACCCATCATACCTCTTCTATCCCAAAGCCCAGGAGAACAGTCTTCTGCACTTTGCCAATACTATGGTATGAAACTTCAGGTTTCTTAACCCCTTCCTGGCACTCCATCTCCTTCCACATTACTACTGTAGCTATAAACTACTATATGTAGCTACAATAAGCTCATCACTCATGACAAGTGGAAAATACATAGCTAGAATTAATCTGACACAGGAGGAATAACATTATCCATGGCTTTAAAGCTCATCAAAACTGAAAATCCTAAAGATTTTCTTTTCCCCTTAGAAAAGAAGAAATACCAAAGATAAATGACAGAACTTTGCTCCTGATATTAAATGGCCTGTGCTCAGATCAACCTGGTGTGGCTCAGCAGCACAGTATTCAACCAGATCTACTCTAACCCCACCAAAAGCTAGTGCTTGAATATTCAAGTGTTCTGTGATTAAATAATCAGTGCAAGCAGCAATTCCTGCCACCAGTATGATTAATCAATAATATTATTGCTAATATAGGCGTTAAATAAGTGGTCACATACTGCTGATGGAACCAGTCGCCCTTCTCTGAACAGCTCCATCCTACATGTTCCTTCAGGGTGGCAGGCACCATCCATCCTCACCAAAGGCAGCTTCCATTCATCTTCCCCTCACCAACAAGCCTGAGGTCTGCTCTATTTAGTGAGGGCTGTTTGGGAAAAGGGAATCTTAACTGGGGTAACCAGCAGACTCCATCTGTTTGAAAGCCACAGACACTGAAGAGCTTTGAGCAATGCAGTTTTTCAGCTGTTCTTGGAAAAGACACATATTCTCTGCTGGAAAATGACATTTCTGAATGAAGGAACAGGAAAAAAGTGAACTCACAGTTTAGATCTTCAGCACGCACCTGCAGCAGGGAACACATGAGAGGAAACTAGGGATAAATACGAACAAAGGAGAGGTGAAAGGAAAAGGCTATGACAGGTAGTTTGGGAGACATGGGAAGAATATAAGGCATGTGGAAAATAAATTCAGAGGTGCTTTGTAGGCAAAGCAGCTCTTAGCACCTGCTCCATTGTTTCATATGGACAAATTACTCCGTGCTTAATGAGACTGGTGATAACAGCAAAACCAAAAAGCCCAGGCAAGTCCCCATCCCCAAATCTGTGTAAGTATAAACCTTTGTTTTCAGATAAACCATGTATTTTACTTTAATTTAATGTAACGTATCGGAGTTTAAACCTTCTTTTCAAAAGGCTTTTGGCCAGGAATATTGTCCTGTCAAAACAGTGCCGGGAAGGAAGAAATCCTTATAACAGGAACATCTCTTGGGCAGCATTTTTAGAAAGATTGCTTTCAAAGCCATGTAACGAGGGAAGAGGTTCCTCCAGCTATCCTGAAGTTAAAGAATGGAACCGAATGTATATTTAGCCTTCTAAATACATTACCATCTGCACTTGACTCCAACAGCAGAAACAGGTCAACAGTAGCACCAGAAATTGCTCAGGTCTCTAGTGAGATCTATAGGTGCCATGAGAACACCACCAGGCTCAGGACTTCTCATAGACTCTTTAAATGGTTTGGGTTGGAAGGGACCTTAAAGTTCATCTATTTCCAACCCCCTGCCAAATCTCACTTTTGCACACATCCATTATGAGACCTCTCAAAGCACTTGCAGCATTCAGGATCCTTCTACCTAAAGGGAAACTGTCCCTGCAGAAAGATGTCCTGGGGAGATGTGGGCTGGAATCTCTCCTCTGCTCTAAGCCATTTCCTCTGTTCCGGCAGGCAGGAGGTTGCAATCCACTGCTCCCTGGCTAGGCAGCTTTTTTGGGAGGAGGTGGGGGGGGGAGGAAGGAAGGACCCACAAGTTCCCAGCTGACAAAGAAACTTGACCTCTAGGCCAACTGTTCCCCTTGCACCCAGGACAGGGGGAGGAAGGATGCCAAGTCCCTTCTCCCCACTGTCAACCAGATTTGGATATAAGCAGCAGCACAGTTGACACACAAGCGAGCAGAACACAGCAGACACCAGCAGCAGCAGGTATCACCCAAGAGAGCTCCATGGGATATAGCATTTCTCTTACAAATCACTTTATTACTGGGGAGGAAACCTTGGTCTTCTCCCACATCACAGGAAGTAAAGCAACTAAACCACAATTTGCTAACATTCTACACTGAAACTGAGAAAGTTAAATGAAACACTGCTCTTCTGCAACAGTATCAGCCTCCAGGGCCATACCACCCCGTTAAGTGAGGTAGCTCCAATGAATTCAATCGAGTTGCAGTTGAGGTTTGGGGCTTTAAAGTTTCCATCTAGTCCCCATCTCTTGCTCATTCTTGCAGCATGACTGCTCTTAATACAGTGTAAATAAATGTAGATTGCATGAACCCATAAAGGGTAAAGTGTTACCTTGTCAGAATACCTGGAGAAATTAGCACTGTCCCTTGGTTATGGACAAGGACGCTGTCAGGACTGCCAGACCTAGGCACACATGCATGAATGCACACAAAACTCCAGCTACTCAAAGAAGGTAAATGTGGAAGAAGCATCTGCCTCCTTCAACACCAGTTCTCAGGAGATACACCACAGAGTCCACATCTTAGCTTAAAAAGCAAGGAATTAACATTACATATAGTCCAAAACCATATTTCTATACAAACTGGGATGAAAGTGAAGACATTCCCAGATAACAAAGTAGGCCTTCTAATATCATTCATTCATTTTAGAATAAACTGTTTCAAAAGCTGCATGGTGCTTTAGGCAGAGAAGCTGCTTCTGGAGTCTTTTGATACACAAAGAAAATGATTCTGGCCAATTTCAGAGCACAGGGATTGAAATGTCTCATCACCCTGTCCTTTAGGTCATCAATAACATTAAAACAAAGGCATAACTAAGTATTGATAACTTGGCTGCTCTCAGCAAACCACAATTTTAAACTACAGCAAATGCTGGTTAAGGAAATACAGACATTTTCTACACACCAACTTATTCTTGCACTGATGAGGGACAATGTTTTAACACGGCACAGAGTATTGACCCGTGCTTAGATCCTGCTTCAGGCAGAAAATGAAGCCATACCAAACCTACATTTTGATCCAGTACAGTGGATACCACTTAGCTGCAGTGAGAACTTCACCATGTAAGCAACATAACTGACTTAACATCTGTAGAGCAGTCATCAACTCACTGGTGAGACTTATCTAGGGCAGGTCAACTAACTCCAGCAAGTCAACCTAGAATCAGGCCTGAGCTGCTGCCTGCTTCTCTGTAACAGCAGAGGTTTGACAGGTAACACTCCAAGTAATATTCTTTAATGCAATATGCATTAACCTAAGAGCAGCAGCACCAGAGTGAGTGCTGCACCTGATGCTACTATACTCAGTGTAGCTTTGCAAGTGACTTACATGGTGATGACAATAATCTGGGCCCAAATCTTCAGACCAGTTCTTCTGGGTATCAAATCTGGCAGCACAAGACTAATTTTTAGAGACGCTGACATTTCCTGTCCCACCTGAAATCACTGGAAGCTACAACTTACCTGTGCTATAAATAAAACCAGAAAAGAAGCTAAGAATTGATTAGCAAATTCTGTAAGTGATGTTTTTCATGTCTTTGTGTCTCTTTTCCTGCCTGTGGCACAGAGGTAGCAGTTTTAAGCCAGCAGGGATGGAGGAGAACTGTTAATGCTCAGGCTATGGGCAACTTTAACCTGCTGATAAGGCTCATGGCTAAGGTGCCTCCATTGTTTGCCTTTGTTTTGTCTACCTGGACAAGTTTACAGTAAAGCCTGACCACAGAGTGCACAACAGAAGGGAGCCTTGAGCCTCTGTTCCACTAGATACCACTATAATTCAAGTAGTCATATAAATAATGAAACTGATTGCTTCACTGGAAAAGACTTTGTAACCTACAAAGCAACACCCTACCCCTTGGTGAAATGTGTAATACAGCTTTCTTATTTCTGTACACACGGCACATACAGCTGGCTTTACATAAAAGAATCCTGTCTTGTTGTTACTTAGAACACAGATTACTAGCTGGGGTAAAGGGAAGACAAGAGAAGGTGCAAAATTGCTCACTGAACCTTTCTGCTCCAGTTGGTACCTCTCAGATCTTTCATGAGCTTTGTGTTCTTTTAAGAATGATTATTGCGAATGAACTTAAAGCCTGTGATTTAATATCCTGTCACTTCTGAAAACAAAACAGCACTGTCCACATAACACAGGCAGCTTTTGATTGTCACACATCTTCACAATACCATTTCTTCTCCCCATCAGATATTGCAAAGAACTCTGCTCCTGTAAGGCTTCCTTTAAGTCTGTAGCAATGTGATGTCCTGGCTCTGCTATGGGTTTATATCCAACAATGCCCAAAGTGTCTCTTCATGTCCAAACCCCATTAGGTTCTGGATAAATGATCCTAAAGGTCAAGTTGATCCTTGCATCTCTAGAATGATATTCCTTAGGCACCCGATGCTGTGAAGTGAGATTAGGGAAAAACAAACAAACAAATCATGAGCTTGTGTATTTAAAATACACGTAATCAAAGCAGGTAAAAACCCTTCATTTCTTGTGATGGCTTTTTATTAACATTTCAGTAAAGCAAAAGCCTCATGTTCTGACTGCTCAGAGCCACTGAAGACAAAAGATCCTTATAGATTATTGTAGACTTGTTAAATTAAGTTGCAACTTTTCTATATTCCAAGTTCCTGAAGTGATTTTGCTCTTTCCAGCAGCAGACTGCAACCTTCATTGCTGAACTTCAATGCTGGAACTTCTGAGCTGCTGACTCCCATTACATCACTTAGGACTTGAAAGAGAACCCACTGTTTATGTGGGTGCTCTGAAAGAAGTATTAATGGGCTGGGAAACAACTGTGTCACTGGAAGCAGAATGTCCCATACCTCTATGGGAGTGCCTCACGCGTATTGAGAAAACTGCATTGCAAGTAAAGGAGTTCTTACCTGCCAGTCCTCTTGGGTAGCTCCTTCCATCATCAGCAGAGTCCCATGATCAAGTGGGATTTTTAGTCTTTCTACATAAGTATAGTCTCCATTCTCTTCCTAAAGAGAAACATTAGACACTGAAGAAGCAAGCAAGTGCATTTGGTAGAAAACCAGCCCTCTATAGCAGAGCTTACAAAGCTGTGATGGGAGAAGAGGAAAGAGACCTCTTTCAAGAAGTCTAAACCTCTGTCACCATATTCCACAGAGTTCAGGAGCTGATCATTTCAAGGATGAAATAAGCCATTGCAACTCACTACCTGTAAAATATAGGTTAAGTTCAACAACAAGTTCCTACATCCAGTGCAAAGGCTGCAAACCTTTTGGAAACATCCACTCCTGAAATAAACAGTTGTGTGTGGAGACATCATTCTGCAATCGCCACCCTGATTCCAAGAGTTTACTACTTTGTCAAAAATACACATCTTCCTCCTGTTAGGAATTTGTCTTGGTTTGGACATTACCTGTTATTATCATCTGTTAGATGAAGAACTTTTCCTATCCAAAGAAATCTCCTCTTCCTTGTATAACAAGTTGTCTTAAACTGTATCACCACTGAACAAAACAGACTGCTCAAATAGAAGACAAATGGCGAACTTGTTAAGTCTTCAGATGAAGCACAACTCTTTCAAAGCACAAACACTATTTAACTAAGTTAGCTAAGTTTAACTGTGCAGTGGCCAAACTTCATGCAGGTTTGTCTTTTTTATAGCTCATGGCTTGCTGAGAAGCTCAAAATAATGAGGTAAAGTATCAATTACTGGGCAAATTATGTCCTGGACTTAAAACAAACTGTAGGGATAGGGCAAGGGATAACAGGTTCAAACTGAAACAGAGGAAGTTCAGGTTAGATATAAGGAAGAAGTTCTTT